CCTGATGTTGCCCACCTGTCAGAATGAATCTCCTCCAAGAGGGGGATGCTGCATGGGAAGCCTCCAGTCCCCTGGCAGATGAGGGTCTGTAGGGGAATTCAGGCTCTGTGCATAACAGTTGCTTGAAGGTCCATAAGGGCAGCTGGTGTCTGCAGCTCAGGGCAAGGTCATGGATGGGTATCACCTGGCCAGAGGGCTGGGTCAGAGTGGCTGGACTGGTTTTAGGGCACTGTTTTCTCAGCTGGTGGGAAGGGTGGAATTACGCACAGGCTTCTTCTGTGGCTATATGAGGAAAGGAGGTGGGATCATAGTGACTAGGACCCAAATAGACCTGGGTTCTAGTCCTAGCTTTGTTGCTTTTAGCACTGAGACTTCAGGCTACTTCCTTAGTCTATTGAAGCCTCAAATCATCATTTGGAAAGTGGAAAAAATGATAGTATCTTCCCAGCAGGATTCTGGCCTCATTAAATGAGCTGAAGGCGTATAAAATGCTAAACATAACAGTTGGCAGCTAGTAAGCCCTCAATAAATCAGAGCAACTTTATGATCAAGGTGACAGAGGCAGGCAACTAGATCCCAGCCCCAAATACGAGCCTGGTCTGGCTTAGGAGGGCTCAGTTCCCCTCTCCCATCACTCCCCAGGCTTAGAAGGAAAATGAAAATATTGTTTTGTATGAATTGGGGAGCCAAGCTAAAGAATCCTGAAAGTGAACAGGGGCCACCTCCTCCCGTGAAAGCTGTTTTCCTAACCCTGAGGACAGGACGCCTTGTCTAACAGTGTATTTGCGTGCCTCCTCCCAGTCCTCCCCTAACCCAGGGATGGCCTCAGCCCTGGGTCAGATCTTCTGTTCTGGGAGACCGCTTAAGGCCTCCTCCTCATCCTGCAGAATCTCAGCCATGACCAGCCAGGCGTTACGGCCAGAGCCACAGTTCTATTTGGTGGGAACAGGGAGCTGGAACCTTGAGTTCACATTCAGACCTGAGCCCAGCTTTCCATGGCACAAGAGGCAGTAGCAAGGGAGACTGGGGGAGCCCCAGAGCAGGCAGAGCAGTGGAGGAAGGTAAGAGGGGGTTGCACAGACTAGAAGTCTGAGAGTCTGCAGCCCAGCCCTGTTGTGCCACACTCCTGCCCTCCACCCTGCAGGCATAGCTGCTGGCACTGCTGCCATAGCTTTTAGCACTGTGATCTCTAGCCACTGTGGGAATTTGTAGTGCTTGGCAGAACTGGGGGCTCCTCAGAATGTCTCCCCAAAGAGATAATGGAAATTGTATGAGCGTGTGGCTCCCTGATGACCCAAGGAGAGCTGAGGCTGTGAGCTGTGACTCGGCGGGCAGGAAGCCCAGCCTTTCCACTTCTCCATGCTCCCAATATTACTTAATGCCCTCTTTAGGGACCCAGCTTGTCAGCTGTAGCCCTTTCTACATGATTCCCAAGTCACATTACCTTTGAGCAAGTGTGTCTTAGCTATGTGGCATCATGGGAGTTGTCCTGTGAATTACAGGCATTTAGCATCTCTGGCCCCCCTGCCCAGGTAGTAATGCCAGAATGTCACCCCATCATTAATTAAAATAAACCTGCAGGGAAACAGGGATGCTACCCATTCACCACTGTATCCCCGATGCCCGACACATACAGTGCTTGCCACAGCATTTCTCAACCCTCCCAGAAGCTGCCACTGCCCCCAATTGGGAACACCATTCTAGTCAGATTATATACATGGATGGTGTTTACCCCCCAGTCTATATACTTTCCACTATCGGAAGTCAGTTGTCACAAAGGGTAGGGTCATTATCCACAAAAGCCACCCCATCTCTTCCTGGCCCTTGGCCCATTGGTTAACATAGCGTGTGAAGTCCGATACCCAGAATGGAACAGCGTGTCTCACGTGTGGCCCTACCCTGGAGAACAGTGGACCCACTATCTCCCACCCTGAGATTGCATTTACTTTTCCTTTGGCAGTCACCCTAGTGTTTGTTGACTCATGGTCAGCTAAAACAAAGGACTTTCCCCTTTGGTCTTTTCTAATCTGAAGTGTTAAGACTTGAACATTTAAGTGACACGCATTAATTTTTCCTGTCCAGGTGATAGTCTCAATACTGCCATTTTAGTGTGGTAGTCAGTCACCTTTCCATCCCACACACACCCTCTGCTCCTGGGATTGGTAAGCCATCCATATCCTCAGTGTGCCGTTGAAGAAAACATTGAAACGGTGTGATCATGACTAGTACTGCCTGGAGTTGTTTGGTTGCCTTTCAATGGACCCAGTTAATCCTGGTTCCGCACCATATTTCTCCATCTCGTCCACAGAGTATCTTGAAGCCCATCTGTAACTGCCTTGCTCACTCTACATTGACCCAGCTCCACAGGAGCTCAGCCTCTTTGGAAAATGAGATGCATGTTGCTGATCATGGCTTGTTCTCAGCGAATCTGGGCTAGTTTCTCGTGCCCATCGCTGCCTCTTCAGCATTTTCCAAACTTTTCATTCTCTCTATCCAGATGTTCCCAGCTATAACTGTACATACCTGTATGTCATTCCACCCCTAGGGTCGTGAGACAGGAGGATTGTGAGGATTTTGAGATCCTGTCTCAAAATGAAATAAACAGAATTTTCAATAGTCAGGTTTCCTTTCCAAATTTCTAGAGTCCACCCTTCTCCTTTTGTGAAAATAGAGGCAGCTTGTTTTCTGACATCTTTCTCACAATTCCATGGGGATGAACCAGAGGTGGTGCCAGGGTCATCTTTGGTCTTAGAAGAGCACTGTTTTATGGTGGTGGTGTTTTTTTGTTTGTTTGTTTGCTTGTTGCATTGTTTAGACAAGGCCTCTCTAGGTAGCCCAAGCTGGTTTTTTTTTTTTTTTTATGGAATGCTTCCCGAATTTGCGTATCATCCTTGTGTAGGGACCATGCTAATCTTCTTTGTATTGTTCCAATTTTAGTATATGTGCTGCCGAAGTGAGCACTTTTTTTTTTTTTGTGAAACTGGGATTTGAACTCAGGGCTTCACACTTGCAAAGCACTTTAGTGCTTGATCCACACCTGGATCCATGGTTTTATGTTCTTTTTATCTCCTTTATTTTAAGCTGCCTTAAGATTGACATTAGAGATAACAGGTGGAGTGAAAGGGAAGCTGGGTGGTTCTATTTTCTCTGCCATCTGTGTAACATCAACACACACAGGACACTGGTACTTCCTCATTGTCTTGCTTCAAACATGGGGAAGGTTTTCACAAATCTCTCTGGACTGGGGGGTATAGGTCAGTGGTACAGCGCTCACCTAGACCGTGCAAGGGCGTGGTTCAATCCCCAGCATTTGGGGGTTGGGGAATGACCTTTTGGGGATTGTCCTTAGTATTTGTTTTAGTTTTTCTGCAGGCCTGTTAGTATTAAATGTCCTCTGGTTATCTCCTCTTAGACAGTGAGCTCTCTGAGGGCAAGGGCTGCCCTGTCTGAAGTTCAGTGCAACTGCCCCCACTTTCCATGTCCCCTGTGCTCTGAAAATGCTGGGAGGAGGCAGGGCAGCAAGTAGTGTGTGGTTTGGTGGTGTGTCGGGCAAGTATGTCATCATGGAAAATTCTTTACAGAGTATGCAGATCCGTTTACACGAGCCTCTGCTGCTTCTGAAAACGGCACATTCCTTCAGAACCCTCCGCCCGTTCCTTTCTTCCCACCAAACCTCAGTCATGCCTCGGGTGACTTACCTCCCCCACTTTCCATTTCCATCCCTCACTCCTGTCTCTTTTTTTTTTTTTTTTTTTTGTGGTACTGGTGTTTGAACTCAGGACCTCCACCTTTAGCCACTCCACCAGCCCTATTTTTGTGATGGATTGTTTTTGAGATAGGGTCTCGGGAACTATTTGCCCAGGCTGGCTTCCAGTCGCAATCCTCCTGATCCCTGCCTCCTGAGTAGCTAGGATTACAGGCGCCCGGTTCACTCCTGTCTCTTTCCCATTATTCTTGGCTTGGGTTTTATAGAAAGTTTATCTTGAATTCCTGGACTCTTGTCTGGATGGGTTGTTCTGGGACTGTCCTTGGTCAGTAGGACTGGAGCTCCCAGATTTAAAGCCTCTTGTTACGGGACTCCTAGGTTCTAGGGTCTGGGCAGCCCCCTAGGCTGAATGGTGGGCGGAGCTGAAGGCTGGGGTGAGACAGGGTCTAGTCAGATAGAAACAGGCGTGCCATCTCTCAGGCTTCCTGGAGCAGGTAAGGCTACCTCTGGGCCTCCCACCTGCTGTCCATGCGTTGCTGGAAACTCTATGAGGGTTGGCAGCACAATTTTGAATCATCCTGAAATGTAACCACCACCCTCTGATCTGCCTATACAATTGCTCAGCTCCGGGCAGATAGAAAAAGGAATGCAGGGAAGGAAAGCCTGAAAGAGAGTCATCTGTGTGGGGGAAAGAACGGCCAGACTACCTGCATGTCTTCTGAGGACAGAGTAAGAGGGTGCTGAGCAGAGCAGTTACCCCACAGCGGCGGGAAGGCATAGGGGGCCCTCCCAGGCCATCTCTGAACAGACACCTGGCCTTTGCATGTGGACACTGTGGAGGGCTGGAGGAGGTATAGGGAACCCCCAAGTGTCTGCGTCATATCTGCCTTCCTTGAGAGGTAGAATAGCCTAGTGCAGAGGTTCTCCAGGTGTGGGCCCTGGACCAGCAGCATCAGGACCGGCTGGGAACTTGTTAGAACTGGCCCCTCCCCGACTTTCCCAATCAACCTGGGGGTGTGGCCCAGTGCTCTGTTTCACAGGCTCTGCACTGATTCTGGTCCATGCTTTAGGTTAAACTTTGAAGCCAAGTTGCCTGGCCTACCTTAAACAGCTGTGAAGCCTTGAGCAGATCCTCTGTGGAACACCCCAGTCACACAGTGAAGACACTTATTGCCGCCTGTGGTTGTGGGAGTTATGGGGGTGCTTTGAAGGAGCAGTCATACAATTCTGTCACTCAGAATGTGTCTTCAGTGTGGCCTCGGCCCTGACCTTCATTGTCGCTTTCTCTGTTTAGGTGGTATCTGATGCTGCAGGACAGGGTGTGGCCATCACAGGGAACCAGACCTTCAACAACTGGAACTGGCCTAATGCAATGATCTTTGCAGCCACCGTTATCACCACCATTGGTAAGTCTCTGGAGGCCTGGCAGGACACCCCCTTCCATGTCATCCTTCCTGGGACCCTTACAGCCATCAGCTCTGGTGACTGCCTTGTGAGAGTAAAGTCAGTCTTGTCCTTTGAATTTGTAAGGACTTAGTAAGTTCATGGTGACTGCCCATACTTGCAAGACTGAGATTCCGTCGGTCCTGTCCTGGGCATTTTGAGTCGAGACAATGACACAGTCTGATGGAGCCATGCAGGAGACTCACCATGACGTTGCACTGCACAAGCCCCAGTGCTCTATGGCTGCACAGCCAACCACTCCAGCAATTAGTAGCTTCAATCACAGTTTATTACTTTCCACTGTTCCATGGGTTGACTGGGTTCAGCCAGCAGTTCTTGGGCTCTCACACGTGTAGCACTCAAATGATAGCTACAACAGATGTCACCTAGAAGAGAAGCCCAGCTGACTTGGTGTTCAAGATGACTCCTCCCATTCCATGTGTGACAGTTGGTGCTGGCTGTTGGCTGGTTGGTCAGCCGGGGATGAAACCGCAGACTGCACATGTGTCTCAGGCATCTCACAGTATGGCAGCTGGACTCTATAAGGGAAAATCCCCAAAATAAGCATCAAGGGAGAAGCAGCAGACTTTTTAGACCTCAGTCTGAACATGTCACTTCCTCAGCCTTCTGTGGCCAATAAAGCCACTGAAGCCCAAATTTCAAGTGAGATTAGACTCCACCTTGATATGAGCAGTTGCCTAAGGAAGGAGGGAATTGAGAATAGACATCTTCAGAGGCTGGCTGTCACCCACAGTGCCTCTGAGGTGTCTACCTAGAAGAGGGCATCTTTTTCTAATTTGCGTGATGGTGCCATATGGACTAGTGGTAAGGCTTTGCCTTCAAGGAGGGAGCTCCCAGTGTGAGAGTGGAGACAAAGCCCTCACCGTGATCATTGCTGTACGGATGATGAGGGGCAGAGTGCATTGAAGGGAAATAGCACTACTTAGATATCAGTTGATCTTAGAGAGTGGACCTGTCTCTAGCTCTGTGTGTGTACTTGACCTCACTGTCTCCTTCCTCAGGATATGGCAATGTGGCTCCCAAGACCCCAGCTGGGCGCCTCTTCTGTGTCTTCTATGGTCTCTTTGGGGCACCACTCTGCCTGACATGGATCAGTGCCCTGGGCAAGTTCTTCGGGGGACGAGCCAAGAGGCTGGGCCAGTTCCTCACCAGGAGAGGCGTGAGCCTGGTATGTCCCCAATCCTAGGTCACAGTTGGGGGGACCATGCCAGGGGAGAGGAGGTCAGGAGCTGTGGTCTCAGTACTCCCTGCCCTCCTAGGTCAGGCTGGGAGCATCCCTCTCCATCCTTCCTGGGAAATAAGCTTCCCGGGCTTGTCATCCATTTGGCCTCTCCTAGCCATCTTCCCAGCCCTCTGGGTATCCCTGCTGAATCTCTGAAGTCTCTGCTGCTGTCTGATTTGTCCCCTGCCACCCCACCAGAGGAAGGCGCAGATCACATGCACGGCCATCTTCATCATATGGGGTGTCCTGGTCCACCTGGTGATCCCACCCTTTGTGTTCATGGTGACAGAGGAGTGGAACTACATTGAGGGCCTCTACTACTCCTTCATTACCATCTCCACCATCGGCTTTGGTGACTTTGTGGCTGGTGAGTTTTCCCCCTTTCTCCTGCTTCTGCCTCCCCACCTTCCCTTCCAGGTACTATCCAGCAGACCTTTTTTGGAGGCTGCTGGTAGGTGTTCCTTTCACTGTTTAGCCTCTGATATCCCTCCTGTCTCCCCTGACTACTGAGTTTGGGTTCACTTAGGGCATCCTGCCTTCAGGATTTAGGCCTATTTCCCAGAGAGGCAGCTCCCTCCTTCCCTCCCCTGCCCCACGTTGAGCCCCTGTCCCAGCAGCCTTCCACCAGCCATAAAGAGGAAGGAGCTGTCCTGAGACTTGGCTCAGAGGCGGGAGACTTTGCTCTTGACACAGGCAGCTCAGACACAAGGCAGGCCTTCTCCATGCTGCCCTGCCCCCTCAGCCTCCCACTCCTCCCACTCCTCCTCTACTTAATCCTGAGAGGCAATAAGCTTCTTTGTCTCCTTTGTCTGAAGGCCTGAAAGCTGGCCCCAGCCACTCATGCACTGTGCTTTGACCCACAGCCTCTTGGTTCTTAATCTTCTTGACACCCTGCTCGGCCCTGTTGACCCAGTGTCTATTCCTTCCATTGCCTGTGCCCTGCCCCATTGACCTCCATCCTTGCAGCAGGAACCTCTGCTCTCTACTCCAGCTGCTTAGCTGGAGGGCAAGGGACGGTCACTCCTCTGTCCCACTGTCTGCAGAATGCTGGGAGGAGCAGCTGAGTAAGTGGGAAGAACAGGAAAGAGTGGAACAGCACATGGGGCTTGCTGCTTAGAGGCAGGTTTAAAGGTGTAACCCTGCCATTGTCTAGCCTCTGGGGCCGGGGGAGGGTTGAAGAGAAGCTTTTGTATTAGGAAGCTCAGTCATGCCTTTAGCTGGTTTCTCAGCTCTGTAAGACCCCAGATCTTTGCCTCAGTCTTCTCACCTATGGTAGGGTAAAAATAATAATAAGCCCACCACACAGGATGTTGGAAGATGAAGTCTCTATTCCCGAGTGTTGAGAGTAGGGCTCAGTCCTCGATGTATGCCCTTGTTACTGTCATTGTCAGACTCTGCTTGTGACCCCTCAGACAGAGCACTTCCTAAACCACAACCCCTGCCTTGGGGGACCTCTAATCTGAGGTAGTGCCCTCTTCCAGTTCCCTCTCTAAGTTGCTTCCAGTCTAGGGACAGAGGGAGGCAGGATGTACATCAATATAGTTGTAAGTGTAAAGCTAGGAAAGGAATCTGAAATAATCATGGAATGTAGGCGAACCACCAGAGCTGGGCGGGGCGGGAGGGGGGTACGTAACCTGGGAAGACTCCCTGGAGCAGGCATCAGGAACCTCAGAGGTACAGAATACAGAGTGGGCAGAGCCATCCAGGCTGGTACTGGAGCCAATGTGAGGGAGACAGCGCACGCCTTGGAGGAGGATAGACAGTTTAGAGTATTCCCTGCCACAGTCAGTGCCTCCTGGGTCATCCCGACCTGCCCAGTGTCATTCCTAGTAAACCCCAGCATTGAGGCTGCAGCCGGTCATGGAGTTTCCAAACCTGTTTGTAACTGAGCTATAACATACACACAACAGCTGGGAACAGTGACGAACTGATGAGCTGCATCTTGACTTGTGTGTTGCTTACTTTACAGGTCCCTCAGAATCCCCTTGAACTTTCCTTACCCAGGAACTAACCACTGTCCTGACTTTTTATAATTGAGGAAAGTGAGGAGGCTTAGGTGGGCTGGGAGGGAACCAAGGTCCTCCAGAAATATGATGGGGGTGTTGGTGGTCACACACACACACAGTGTTTTCTCCATGCTCTGGCCTGATGCCTGCACAGATGGCACAGTTTTAGCTGTTACTATTTTCAGTTTCTGCTGACCCTCTGGGCTTCCTGTCTTCTTCAGGTGTGAACCCCAGTGCCAACTACCATGCCCTATACCGCTATTTTGTGGAGCTCTGGATCTACCTGGGTCTGGCCTGGCTGTCCCTCTTTGTCAACTGGAAGGTGAGCATGTTTGTGGAAGTTCACAAAGCCATTAAGAAGAGGCGACGGAGGCGGAAGGAGTCCTTTGAGAGCTCCCCCCACTCTCGGAAGGCCCTGCAGATAGCTGGGAACCCAACCGCCAAGGACACCAACATCTTGAGCTTCCTGTCCAAAAAGGAGGAGACCTACAATGACCTTATCAAGCAGATTGGGAAGAAGGCCATGAAGACGAGTGGGGGTGGGGAGAGGGGCCCAGGCCCAGGCCCTGGGCTGGGGACTCAAGGAAGTGGGCTCCCCACATCCGTGGCACCCCTGGTAGTCTACTCCAAGAACCGAGTGCCTAACTTAGAAGAGGTGTCACAGACACTAAGGAGCAAAGGCCATGTGTCCAGGCCCTCTGGCGAGGAGGCAGGGGCTAAGGCCCCTGAGTGTGGCTCCCCTACCTCTGAGGTGTTCGTTAACCAGCTGGACCGAATTAGTGAGGAGGGCGAGCTGTGGGAGGCCCTGGACTACCACCCACTCATCTTCCAGAATGCTAACATCACCTTTGCCAATGAAGAGACTGCTCTCTCAGATGAGGAGACCTCCAAGTCCTCTCTGGAGGACAACCTGGGTGGGGAGGAACAGCCCCAGGAGGGGCCCCCAGCCAAGGCACCTCTGAACACGGGCGAGTTCCCCTCGTCGGATGAGTCCACCTTCACCAGCACCGAGTCCGAGCTCTCTGTGCCTTACGAGCAGCTGATGAACGAGTACAATAAAGCAAACAGCCCCAGAGGCACGTGAGGCTGGGCCGGCTCCCCACCCCACCTCTGATGGCTTCTTCCTCTCACCCGGGGTGACCTGTGACAGCCAGGCCCCTGGGAGGAGGGGGGAACAGCCCTGGAACTGGGAGTGGGGGGCCAGAGGCCTGCCTTTCCTTCAGCGCAGGCCCAGGACAGGCCTCTGCTCTGCTTTGAGCAGCATCCTGGGGGTGGGGAGGCTCCTGTCCTGAACCTGACAGGTAAGCTGTGACTGGAGGCTCATGGGCTGGCAGCACTGACCCTGGGAGGCCTGCACCTTCATGGGTCTTCCCCCGTTGCTTGGTTGAATGTTACGCGGTTCTCTGAGGCTGGGGGCCTCAGCTATGGGAGTTTACCAGTATTAGCGAGCAGCTTCTGTGTGCCAGGCACTGAGCAGGTAGGGGTGGTGTGTAAGACCCAGGTTCAGCCTGTTGGAGCCCAAAAATGTTCTGGGAAGCCCAGCTGTGGTGAGGGGCAAGGGGGGCAGGGAGCTAGCAATTGCAGGACCCATCTCCCATCCACCTGATGGTCTGTGTGTCAAGCCTTTACTGAAAATCTCAGTAGGGCAGAGGCTGCTAGGAGAGGGGAGGGGAGGAAGTGGGTTTTGCTCATCCTTGTCCCAGAGCCATGTCCTGTTTCAGACCCCTTTGTTTGGGCAAGCAATGGCAGATGCAAGGCTTTCTGTGCCCTGGGGGTGTGGGAGAAAGCTAGGACTCCTGGGCAAGTAGCCAGGTTGCTAAAGCAGGAGGTTCATCTCTGGCTACTTCTGCTTTGGCCCCTCTGGCCTCCTCAATGAAAGTCACACCCAAGCTCTGACCCGAGCACCCACACTTTCATCCTGCTATCTCCTTATTCCTTGTATTCATATCAAAGACCTCAGTGTCCCTCCCCTGTTACCTGTCACCTCCCACTGCTAAATTGCAGTTGGTTCACAGATGGGGACTGCCCAAAAATGTGAATGGATCTCCTCTCCAGCTATCGTATGGCGCGCGCGTGCGTGTGTGTGTGTGTGTGTGTGTGTGTGTGTGTGTGTGTGTAAGGAAGGCAAGTGTTGGGGCTGGGGAGAAAAGATCATGTGAAACTCTACCTGGATGTTTCTGGTGAGGGGTGGGTAGGACTCGCTGCTGTCTGCGTTCTTGGGTTTTCAATGAAGCTCACCCTCAGCCCAGCCCACTCTACCCTGAATGTTTTTGTTATTTTTTTTTAAATGAACTGCTGTTTTTGTATACCTAGCATCTGTTGTTGGCTTCAGAGCCATTGGTTAATGACCAGGGTTTCAAAAATTGGGATGTCCTCTGTGTACCCTACTTCCCCCAAACTCAACGAGGGCCTTTGTGGTGACCTCAGCCAAGGCATGATGTCAAGAACCAAGTCCTCATGCAGGTGGGGAGGGGCACCAGCACAGATGACTGGGTGCTGGGCAGGAGACACTGGTCCCACCTTCAGCCCCTCCCCCTTCCATACCCTCTGCCTCTCTTCTCTGGGGCACATGGGACCAGACCTTCCTCACATGTGAAGATAGCAAGGGGCTGTGTTCAGGCCCCCACTCATTCTCTAAAGCAGTTGCAGAGGCCAGCAGCCAGCCTGGGGGTGGGAAGAACAGCCTGAATCCTTCTGTGAAAGGTGTTATGAGCTCACCCTGTTGCTGGCTATCCTCGAATCACACTGTACATACTGGCAATGATAGCAAACGTAATTTATTTTAACATTTTTACAATAAAACATGGACAAGCCAGCTTGCTGTGTGCTGTGGTGGGGAGGGAGTTGGTTTGTGGTCTCTGGGGAGGGGGAGAATTTAGGGGACCCACAGTGCAGGGACATTGAGAAGTTTGGGGTGGTCCTAAAGGAGAGAGGAGTGAAGAGAGGATGCAGGCCTCTGGGAGGGGAGGTGGGAAGGCGGGGATGTTACAGGGACTATTCTAAAGGTCAGCCCTTGGTGTACACCTGTTAATATCTTCAGACTCTGCTTGTGACCAGAGCCTGGAGCAAGACCCAATAAAGCATTTGACCTTGCAGCAGTCTATCAAGTGGGGATTCCATCCCCAGTTGTAGACAGGAAATGGAGAGGTTGTCTGAGGCACAATGAAGTTTTATGAGATCTCAATGAAAATAGGGAGCCTGGATTCGAACCCAGGCAGCCCAGCTCCTGGAGTTGTACTCTCAGCCACTGAAACGGAATGAGAAAGATAGCTTGTGGTGTTGTGGCAGGTCTGGAAAGGATCCCTGTCTCCAGGTAGATGACCAGAGAACTTGAGAACAAATCTTCCAAGCTCAAGGGATGGGCACACGGCCAGGGTGTGGGTACTTAGGTAGCATGTGAGAGGGAAGATAGTAGAGTCAGTACTCAACAGGCACAGTCTTTCCTTGTCCTTAACCCTAAACAATACAGTGTAGCAACTATAACGAGGCATCGGTATTGTATTAGGTACTGTAAATAATCTAATGGTTATTACATTACTGACGTAATAATCATTACGTCTGTATCATTACAGATGATTTGAAATACGTAAGGAACTTCAGCATCCCCTCAATACTGAGGTGTAAGTGTACTTGAAAATCGTTCCCCACTCTGCCAACACATCTTCCACTTCTCCCTCTGCTTTCTCTGTGTGTCTCCGTCTTTCTCTGTGTCACACGTGCACTCACGCGCACACCACCACAACCACATACTCTGGGTCTCTGGTTTTACTTTTGTCCCTTTCAGCCTCAAGGCAACATAAAACACCAAGCACTACCTTTATTTAGCACTGCGCCATTTCACAAGCATTTTGCCAAACACAACTAGGAGTGCCCCCATGGCACAGGCCACTTGGCCCCATCTTCCATGGAGACAGGACTGGGGAGTGTGACTTTCTTAGGCCACAGTTGAACGAGGCACAGCTCTGCAGGTTCAAGTTGAGGGATGAGGAGCACAAACATGGCTAGGGCTGTGGTCTTAGGCACCTGTGGCCAAGCTCAGTCTGGAACTTTGTGTGAAAGTGGGAGAGTCTGGTCAGCTTCTGCAGCTCCTTAGGGGCCCTAAGTTCCTGAGGGGTCATGAGCAGGACCATGGGGAGATGTGGCAATGCTGGTGAGCTGTGGGGTGGATGGGAGGCCCTGGAGACATTGTCACGGTCAATCCCTGTTGAAGTCACTGATTTATTGATAACCTGTGTCAAAGTCCTGGATGAATGTGACCTTCAGACTCACTGGGGCCCTTACATGGAGGTTCTGAAGCATCAGTCCTACTCCAGTAGGCCCAGCAGCCTCCCAACCCTGGCCCCACTCTGTAGCCTCTGAAAGCCTGCCCATCCTGAGGTTAAACCAGCACTCTACTCTCCACTGAACCCTGTGCTCGCAGCTGGTCAGCAAGGGTTTTAATGTCTCTTATCTTTGTGTCTCAATCTTCACAACAGACATTGTCATTACCCCCATTTTACAAATGAGAAAATTGAAGCAAATAGAGGATGTCCCCCAAGTTCAAACTGCTATAATGTAGCAGAAGACATTTTCCCTGACTTGCATTTCTGGTCTTCATCCTCCCTGCAATTCCTAATGTGATGGGGTGACACTCTCAGAGAACTAAAGTCTGATGGAGGTAGGAGCAGCTCCAACCCTCAAAATGCTGCCATCTATGGGGAGAGACTAGAAACAAACCACAAATGTTCTGTGTTCCATCTGGGCCTCTGGTTTCCTGTCTGATCCTGGAAGAGTCACCACACCAAAATGGAGGAAGAGAAGCTAATCTATTTGGGTCTTGCCTTGTACTGGAAAGTGCCTGCAAGAGTATCAGTAGGGATTGCATAGGAAGGTTTCTGGATCCTGGGGTGGAGTGGCAGGGAAGAAGCAGGCAGGTTGGGCTACTGTGCTCTGGGGAAGGGGTTGGGGGCGGGCTGTCTCCAGAAATGGCTGCCTCTCTGGAGAGCCATGAGGTTTGGTCTCAGCTCTGCCCATCAGCTCATCAGCTCTCCATTCTTTTGGTTTTTCGTTTTTTGAGACAGAGTCTCACTATATACCCCAGGCTGGCCTCAAACACAATCCTCTGCTTCAGCCTCCCAAGTGCTAGGATTGCAGGTGCATACCACCACACATGGGTAGCAACTTCGTGTTCGTGAAATAATAGGTGCCTAGTTTCCAAATTCATACACGACTGGCCCAGGAACCAAATGCCAGTTTGTGAATCACTAAGAGGTTTGTATATAGAATGCAGTGAGCCTCTTCCTGAAATCTCTGCCCCTTTTATCCATCACGGGGTCCAGGCCATAGCCCCTTACCTGGATCCCTACAACAGCACAGACCGGTACCTGGGAGGGCTTCCCAGGTATCTGTTGAGTGAATGGCTGAGTCCCCATGGTTGGTCTCCCTGCTGCTACTACCAACCCCTCCCAGCTGGTCACGGCAGCCACCTGCAGGGTTTATCCTTAACCCAGATCTGACCTTTCTCTCTTGCTCTTAACTCCATAAGGGGCTCCTCTCCACACTCTTTCACCCACCTTTCTGGGCTCCAGCCACTTTGCCCATATTGTTTCCTGAGCCCCGATGCCTTCCTCTCTCCTGGGTGGTCCTAAGACATGGTGGATTGACTGTGACATCAGCTTTTCTGGCAAGTCTTCCACATTTCACCTGTCAGCCTCCAGGACTCAGGACCAGTGTTTGCTCTGCTGCCCCTCCCTCAGGAAGCTTCCTTCAGCTGAGCTGTTGTGATCTGACCCAGTTTCCTGCTTTTCATGCCTCCTCCCCTCGTGGGAAGCCACTAGAGGTAGCAGAGAGCATCCTGTTCACCTTAGCATTCCCACTCCAGGGTCTGGCACAGAGACAGCTCCAATATCCCATGTTTGCAGAGTGAATGACCCAGAGTCGCAGCCCTTCCCAGTGGCAACTCCCTTGGTTCCTGAGCTGGCCGAATCTGGGAGCAAAGCTTGTTCCACGAGGGCGAGTTCCAGCGAAGTGGGGTGGATGATCTTGAGGAATCTTGTCACAGGCTGAGGTGGCCCAGTGAGTCATCTGTACCTGAGTCTGGAGGGAAGGACTGGGACACAGTATACCTTATTTCTCTGCCACTCAGGAGTACTGTTGTCTGTATACCCTTTTGCATTATTCACATCTTGCCTTCACCTCTCACAAGTGGTGGGGTGTGGGGGTGCTAAGCCCCCTCTGGTCCCTGAAGCCCCCAAATGCTGTGGTTCCTGGGGATAGATACTTCTGCTCACACTAACCT